AGGTGCTACTAAGTTAGATTAATGAGTGGAGTAGAGGTGGACTTTTTAAAGGCACAGTAACAGGTCTTTGAGAGCCAGAATTCTTGCTGTTTCTTAGGTGTTCAAATACTTATGTTCAGCAGTGCAAGACTAATAAATTCTTTAAAAATCATACAATGTGATTTCCTGAATTTTTTTTTAAATTCTGTCTGAGTGGGAATGCATCTATAATGTACATTTCAGACCCCTCCATGATTTCTAAGTGGGAGAACTTGCAAAATCGCAGGGTGTTCAAATACTTCTGTTCCTCACTGTATATATGGACCTAACTGTATGTAGTTCTGTCAAATTATTCAATCCACATCTTTACTCTCACATAGCTAGCATTATATTTAAGGGCTTATTCACACCAGGTGCATTTTTAAATGATGCATCCTGAACAAATGCACATTAAAATCCAATGTTTTCCAATCAACCTAGCTCACATGTGTTTAGTACTTTAAAAAAAAAAAAAAGTACTGCAGCATGCATTTTTTTTTTTTTTTTTTTTTTTACACGAGAGGAGGAGTGGAATCTAATTTGGCCCCTGCAATAGCCAGCACCCTGATTATGCCTGTAAGGACAGATCCTAAGAACTCTCCACACTAATGCACACACCAAACAATGCCCAGAATCTGAAAGAAGAAGCAGGAAGTGATCTCACAGAGAATGCTAGCATTGTTCAAGATTTTTCAAGAGGGGAAAATGCAATGGAATGCTGAATGTGGGGTATTGTGGGGTGAACTAGCCCTAGAGAGTCAGTCCATGAAAAACTGACATTTCTGTTTTCTGTAGAAGCCTGCCAGGGTTTTGTGTATATCAGGGACAGTATTTGCCTTCAGTGGCCATTATAACTAGTTCTCACTCTCTCTGTTGGATTATTTATATTACATTCTGGAAAATGCAAAAGGAGGAGCTAGAGGATGCAAAGTTAGGCAGCAACAACCAAAAATCCTGTGCAGACAGGGACAGGTTCAACATTTTATTATATGGAAATCTTTAAGCATTTAAATGCATATTATACCTTTTTGTACAAAAAAACATATATACGTGATTGGATACAGCATGAGTTTGGCAGCTGATTTCAGCAAATGATTTTGTCTGAAGTCAACCAATTGGCTGTGTCCAATCACAGACAGAAAAAACACAGAACTCCGTGTACAGAGAACCGTGATCTTGGCTGTCTTTGCTCCCCAAAAAACAGCCATATAGCACAGTAAAAGCAGCATATATATATATATATATATATATATATATATATATATATATATATATATATATCTATCACCAGCCACTTTATTATGTACACCTGTTCAATTGCTAATAAGCCAATTACATGGTAGAAACTCAATGCATTTAGTCCTCTAGACGTGGTGAAGACGACTTGCTAAAGTTCAAACTGAGCATCAGAATGGGGAAGAAAGGGGATTGAAGTGACTCTGAATGTGGCATGGTTGTTGGTGCCTGACGGGCTGATCTGATCTAAAAAAAAAAAATGTGCATTTACAATAGCTTTTGTTTTTTTTTGGAGACTGGGAAGCATTAAACCAGTGATCAGCAGATCGCTGGTGCCATGCAGAACTCCTGCAAACCTGTCAATGTATCTGTGTGCTTGTACCTCGTACGGTCAAGCAGATAAACTGAGACAGGAACAGTCAATGAACTACCACTGCTGTCAACAGGGCCGTGGTAGTTTATTGAGAACTAAAAGCTGACAGATGCAAAGGCTCTCGGGGCTTGTAGTTCATTCATTCACATAACTACTGCTGTCACAGGGAGAGGACAGTGGGAGGTGGCTGCAGCAATGACCATGTGTTACATGTTGCACCCCTAAAAATGTTGAACTTCTCCTTTAGAGTAGCACAGTGCTGAATAGCGAAACAAATGCTCTGGTCATTAAAGGGGTAAAATAAGAATTTTCCATTTAACAGAATAGTGTTTTGCTTGCTTGCTTTTCTGTCTCGTGGAACCTGCTCAGCTTTTGACTGCGTCATAACTACTCTGTGCTTCCAGCCATAGACAAGGGCAGTACAGTGTTAAAAAAAAAAAAAAAAAAAAAAAAAGACAAGGAAGGGTAGTCTACCTTGCTGGCTCCTTTCCAAGCCTTGTGAGATCGCAGGATAGCAGATATTGATCAGATTTTTAATAATGTTTTATCTGAGCCATAAACATTGATTGAAACCTACTGCAGAACTTTCATGCGGAGCCGACTGCATTTATGCATTCCCCAAAGTCACCCTACCAATGGCGATGAATTAAGGAGGAGAAGTGGGTCTTTTTATGTAGTTTTCTTTTTAGTAATGGATGCAGTGCGAAATGGCTGAGGGCTTTTGCTTGTAAGAATGACTTTGTCTTCATTTGACCCTTTGAATTTGGAATCTGGATATGACACCAAGATGCAAACAGTATTTTTCTCTTCCCTGTATAAAAAAGGACACGTAACTGAAAATCCCTATAATATGTTGAACATATTTTGGATTCAGAACTAGAGATCCTATAGCTGAACATGTCTATCATGGGGTTGTTCAATGAACTGTCAGTTTTTTCAGAGGTAATTAAACAACATTTGAGTCAAAAAGCTTTGCATTAAAAACACAAGAATGCTTATTCCTGACTGGCCTTACAAGGCAAAATTCCTCGTTTACGAAATGTTGTAGCAAAGCATCAGCTAGCTGTAGCAGGACTATTAAAGTGGAACTTTAAATAAAAATTCATAATGTGGGAGCAGGCAAGCTTTTTGACATATGTCTCTTCTGAAATAAATGTTTATTTTGTGATAAAGGATTCTTACCTGCCTGTTCACAATTTACTTTAATATGGTCCTGCACAGCTCAAAGTAGAATTTTTGGCATCTGACGGGATGAATGACCTCCTGTGCATGTGCAGGAGTTACGTCACCCTGATGTGGCTGAAGATTCTGAACCTGGAAGAACACTGTGCAAAGACATTGGCACCAGTGAGGGGGATTGCTTTATATTAGAACTGTTGCTTCCCATTAAAAAATATGTCCTGTAGTACTTAAAGTGGAACTTTACCCAAAAGGGGAAGTTCCGCTCTGCCTCCTCCTTTCCCCTCCTCTGCCATATTTGGATTATATATATTTTTTTTTTTTTGGGGGGGGGAGGGGTACCTAGGTAAATTCCACACTTCCACTCTGAACGCCTAGGCCGGGGAGGTCAAACTGGCGGCCATCCAGCTGTTGAGGAACTACAAGTCCCAGCATGCCTCTGCTTTTTGGAGCCATGTTTGTAACTGTCAGCATTGCAATGCCTCGTGGGATTTGTAGTTTAGCAACAGCTGGAGGGCCACCAGTTTGACACCCCTTGCCTTGGCGATCTGAACGGGAGTTCTTGTCCTCGTAAATAAAAATGATTGGGGTCAAAGGAATTATTGGTGATTGGTGTCATTCTGCTGGCTTTGCCAAATGTCATTGGACCCAGAATTATGCAGACCTCATCAGGTGAGAGGTCAGTGAGCCACAGCTCTGGGAAGCCCTATCAACCTCTGGAGGACCGCTAGGATTCCATGAAAACCTGGTTGATAACAGATGAGTTAGAGGTTTACATTTTTTAATCCATCCTTCTGGCACATGCATGTTTACATTAATTAAAGCCGAGTTCCACTCAAAATTTTCCTCCTGCCCCCCTCCATTGCCATATTTGGCACCTTTTGGGGGGAGCGGATACCTGTTTTTGACAGGTACCCGCTTCCCACGTCCGGCTCAGTTCGGCCCCCTCCTCCTTCCCGCAGAACTTTTACAAGTCCAAGGAGACTGCCGGGCCAATTAGGAGGCGCAGCTCAACTCACACTTGTGCAGTGGGCACCAGGCTGTGAAGCCGCAAGCTGCCAAAGCCTGGTGTCCACAGTTGAGATGCCTGTGCTTTGGCAGAGAGAAGGGGAGAAGGGACCGTGCGTGTGTGAACATCGCTGGACCCTGGGACTGGTAAATGTGTGTTTATTAAAAGTCAGCAGCTACAGTTTTTGTAGCTGCTGACTTTTAATAAACACTAAAACAGCTGGGACTCCACTTTAAGCTTAATATTTCAGCAGGGTATCAATATATTCATATGATGGCAATTAGCTTACAAAATATACTGCACTGCAGTATGAAAGGCATGGAAAAGCATTGTTATCTTATTGACCCTCTTGCTTGTGTTCCTGTGCTTAGCATGAGTGCTGAGATCTCCATCTGACACTAATTTAAAGTAAACATCTTTTTTATAACTCTTTAGCGACCAAGAAGAATGTGTGGCTTGAGAAAGAGGAGAAGGCAAAACAGCTGAGAGAGAAGCAATTACAGGACAGAAAGAAGAAACTGGAAGAACAAAGGCTCAAGGCTGAAAGGAAAAAGGTGCTCCTAGACGAACGGCAAAGGTTAAAGCATGAGAAGAACAAGGTAAATGGTGGTCAATAATTGTGTTCATTTCATACGGTTACTACTCTGGTCTTGGCCAGTATCTAGTTATTGCCTTAAATTGTGTTATCTTTAGTCTGAAACATCCCCAATATTCAGGGCTTTGGCCTATTTGAGTAGCGTCATATATAATGTTCTCTTTAATAGGATGACTACTGAAAAGATGTCATACCATCTAGCACTGAAAAATAATTTTTTGGTGCTAATTTGTATAGTAATCCACACTTAACGGCATTTATCACGTCAGAGTCTTCAGTGAGAAGATCGAAGCAGAACCTGGAAGATATTCATAACCTCCCATAAGTCTCATTAAATGGAGTAATGAAGTAGAGATTGGTTGTCATATTCTTATATTATATTAGGAAGCCGTAAAAATGGCAGTGGTAGAGAGGGCAGTGTTGGTCCTTTACAGATTTGTGGATGAAAAAAAAAAAATTAGCTGTATGCTTTATTATTGTGTTTATTACCAAACTGAATTTTATCTAATATTGAGTAAAATATAATGTTTGCTTACATAATACATTAATGCAATTCATTTTGATATGCAAAATATTAAAATTCTTAGGAAAAATATGAGTCGGCAGTCAACCGTTCAACTAAGAAGACTTGGGCAGAGATTCGTCAGCAGCGATGGTCTTGGGCAGGAGCGCTTAATCAGAACACTCCTAAAGGAGGTATGGCTGGTTGATCCTATCAATGGACTTAATGTCAGAGCTCTACTTCACGAATTGCCTTATTTCTTTTTGGTGACTTATTGAATAAACCTACAGTGGCAGCAAGTACTGACGCACTTGTCAGTTATTGCAGTTTCATGGCTCTTCCAGCTGGTTCTTGCTGTAAGGGTAGTGAACATTAAGAAATCAAAATACAATATAACTAAAATTTATTTTAGTAAGCAGCACTTCATTTAAATTCATAAATATGCATGGAATAGCCTGTGCTTTCTTTTGAGGGGGGTTCTGATGATAAACATTAAGCTAGATAGACATTCTTCAGTTTATTAAAAAAAAAAAAAAAAAAAAAAAGAGAGAAAAAATTAAAACACAGTTCTCTGTCACATTTTGTTTACTCTTCGGGCTGTATATATGTGTTTTACACCATTAATGAATTATGATGAAAAGAATACATTGAGCTGTGTAAATTCTGGCTGGTTTCTACTGTGTCTCTTTACTTCAGGCCCAAACAGATGCTCCATATCTGCAGTGAATCTTCCCAGACATGTTGACTCTATAATCAACAAGCGACTATCTAAATCCTCTGCCACATTGTGGAACTCTCCAAATAGAAGTAAGAGCTTTGTAGTTTTATATAATGGACTATCATCTCCAGTACTTGAGTACTGATTCCAGTTTAGTCTCATATAGGTGACTTTAAAGCTGAACTCCAGGCAAACAACTAAATACACATATGGCATACATATAAGGATGTTGTTTTGCCAGGCAGAGGATTTGTGTTTCTGCCCATCCAGTTCTAGGAATTGTATAGCCTGCCACACAGCACAGTAAGGTGGATGATACTACTTACTCTGGTACAGCTATAGACTGTAGAAGAGATACCGTGGTGACACACTTCTCCATTGCCTGCTTGACCATACAGTGAAAATGCAGCAGCAGACTGAGGTCATCTCATGCTTACCCTGCCTTTTCCTATTGACATATTTCTTCTCAGTGCTTTTTCATGATACCCCCCCCCCCCACCACCACCACCACCACCAGTGTGAATTCTTCTGTCGAGGGGATTACAAGATACCAAAATAATACCTACACAAGTTTAATTTAAATTAGGTGATTTGTGAATGAGTAAAGATCTTCATTAAATTGTGTATTTAATGCCTGGAGTTCAGCTGTAAAGGTATATAGAATACATGAGATGATGATTAATTGGTAATGCATGAATATTGGCATACACTCCCTGGGTAATCAACTATATGTTGACTATGTTGATTTTACAGTGGCATTGTTCCTCTAAATTAAGGCTTGTTTCGGGGTGTCTGCTCATTCAATTGATTGTACAGTTTCGATAAATTGTTTGTTCCTAGGGAGATAAAAGTTACTACAAAAGGGAACCATCATCCAACAAATGTTAGCCAAGAAGGAAAAAGGTGGACAAAAGTCTGGACATGGACTATCTCTGTACCCAAAGGACAAGGGATTCACACATATTTGTTTAAAAAATTCCACACATATTTTATTACAAAAATATATAACAAAGAACAAAAGAGATCACAAAGACTATGTTACAATCTCAGGCTCAGATTTAACTGCACTCATTTCCCATAATTAACTTCCAATAACAGGTGATGACAAAAAGGAAAGAAGCAGCCACTGTGTTATTTCATATTTATCAGTTTCAGCCAACAGACGAAACTGTGTGCAAAAATGTATCCGCACAGCTGCTGTGCCAAAAATAGACCCGATTTACCAAAGGAGGGGCGCATTCCACTACTCTGCATGCAAAGACCTCAACATCCGAACTAGTTTAACTGCCACAAAGCAACAAGGTAGTGCTATGCTTTTTTATTAGAAAGCCCAGCATGCTCTTCAGGTGTTGAAGTCTAAAGTAGCCTTAAAGCGTATTAACGCACCAATAGCATTAAAGAGCATTTTGGGTGTGTTGTACAGGCATTCCTGTTGTGTCAGCAACACTCATCAATGCCCTGTGAGATGAGTTTTTTTATAGGAAATTATCACTTTTCACGCTTTGCAATTGCACCTGAAACGCACTGTGAACGCCATAGGCATGCTTAGTGTGCATTTACAATACGCTTGTGGTGTGTTTCAATAGAAGTGAATGCAGGCAATTGCAAATTGTCAGGTCTGTCAAACTCTGCAGGCAGAGTTATTTTTGCCTCATTGCAGTGCAAGGCAACACTATTGCTGCAGTGTGAACACCTCCATCTGCTCCTTATTTTAACAATTTTGAGTGGCATTGATAGATGTCCGGGAAACGTTAAAAACGAGACCCAACTGCCTATTTCTGACTCCTGTGTGAAAGAGCCTTTAAACAGTATGTTATGCATACAAATTATTAAAAATGTATAAAGCATCACTTTATAAACTTGCTGCATTTAGGTCTTTTTCACAATTGCTCAAAATACTGACGCTTAGCAAACACGCCTATAGCGTTAATGTGAGTTGTTGAATATGATGTGCGTTTAAAGCACTTTAAACACAAAAAAATATATTTAGCCAACTATTAGCTTCTAACATAGAATATTGCCAGCAGAAGAAAAGACCAAGTGGTCCATTGACTCTGTCCCTTTTTTGTTTTATAGATTGATAGATAAATCTATACTTTTTTTTTTTTTTTTTTTTTTTTTTTACTTTTTTTGTCTAAATATAAATCTATATTTGTCCCAAGTATGTTCTCTTGTTTTGGTTATCACTGTCTGTCATATACTGTACAGTTTAGCTGTTGTTTTCACCAATTAAGGCAATAATAGGAACAGAGTTGATGGATCTTCCAGCATAGAAAAACATCTTCTGAGACTGCTCCCCTGTCAGTATCTTTGTGATGTTTACAGCTATGCTCATTTCATTGTAGCACCCTGAATTTAATTATCAAGTTGGGAACCAATGTCACAGGAATTCCAGGTGCATGGTGTTGTACTATTTGCTTCTATACAAGTGTAAATATAAATTGGGAATATAAACTCATGAGATTGCAGTCTCTGTACAAGCCTGTCTATTTATATGGTTTAAATAGACTTGCTGGTGTGAGCTGCTGTGTCTAAGGAGATCCGGACGAGTTTTAGTTTGTTAGGAATGTAGCTTGTTACCAGCTATGGCCTCCCAAATATTTCCAGGGCGGAAAACAGAGGAGGAAGTTTCATCATTGTATAACAGAAGTTGCTACCCTGTCTGTTTTCTGTTGTAAACATGGGGGAGAACATACTTATGATCTGATAGCTTGTGTTTAAGTGTTACGGACTACATAATACTGTATAATTTTTGAAAATGATTGAAGATTCTCTTGTTATGCTGGGTAATGCACAAGAAGTTCACATTCCCACAAGAGAATGATAAAAGCTAGCCACAGACAAACTGATTTTTTTTTTTTTTTTTTAGCCCACCAGTTGGCTACGCATTGTTGGCTTCCTAACAATATTTTAAGAGAAATAATTGGTAAATTTACTGTAACACACACACACACATCATATTTCTTATTGCTAACCTTCTTGGAAGGTGCATACCTAGTGGGGATCTGTTGCTCACCATGCTCTACCAGACCCTTTCCTACTCCTTCACTATGTTTCTTCCCAATGGCTTCATGACTAAGCTTTTATTATTTATTAAAAAGATTATTATTATAAGAATGTTATTTAGTAATATTACACGTATTTATAGAACGCCAACAATTCACTCTTCACTTTACATATATTGTACATTCACATCAGTTCCTGCCTTCAAGGAGCTAACAAGCTAAGGCCCCTACCTCTTATGCAAACATCAGTGTTGTTATCAATATTATTATTTCTATTGTTCTGGATTTATCTAGGTCCAGCAGTTTGTGCAGTGCCTTACAAAATGCATGCACACACATACTAGGACCAATTTTGACAAGTGCAAATTTACCTATCTGCATGTCTTTGGAGTGTGGGAGGAACATGGTTTTGTGCATTTCTCCACAAATCATGGAGTTACTCTTCACTTCAAAATTAAAATCCCATCCATCTTGCTACACAATGTAGCAATACTAGTTTTTTTGCCTCATATTTTATTGAAAAAGGTAATGATTGATGCAGGCTTTGACCTATGTAAAAATACTCTTTCTGTCTTTCACTTTTCTTTTCGCTTCTGTTACCTAATTTACCTAATAATCACCTTCCTTATCCTTTTGCAGACAGGAACTTGCAGCTCAGTCCTTGGGAAAGCAGTATTGTAGATCGGTTGATGACACCCACCCTGTCCTTTCTGGCAAGAAGCCGGAGTGCAGCAAACCTCCCAGGAAACAGCAGAGATCTGAGTAAGCACAGGTTATTTATCACCCATTATGTCTGTTATTGGTTATACTGTATATGATTAATTTTGTTGCTCACATGTATTTCTTACCTGTCAGGTTCGTTAGTATGTCCTCGTTCTGCCTCTGCAAGTCCACTAACTTCTTGTAATGGTCACAAGCATCGTTGTTCAGAACGTCGGAGGACCACAGCCGGCAGCCCTGATGTAACACCCAGGAAGCGCAGTGACACATCTCCGGTGAGCAGCAATTTCCAAGTTAATTTACGTGGATTTGTACTTTGCTCCGCCTTCCACTTTTCATTTCTCTCCCTTGCCTGCCTGTTCTCTCAATGGAGTGAATGGAGTACTTTTTCTTAAGATGCAATGCAGGGTGCAGGAGCTGCCAATTGCGAAGCCCAAATGATGTCACCTGTGGGTGTAAAAAGGTGCTTAGCTCTGTGTAAGCTCTGAAAAAGGCAAGGTGGACACAGGATTTTTTTTTCTGAAGATAAATGGGAAGTGAATAGAAAGTAAATATAATCAGTTTGTGAGTAGGGCGTTAACCTGTGTGGGCAAACTAAACGTTCTCTTTTAGTATTTGCATGCTGCACAATTTTAAAGTGTAACATTTACAGACTGTCATTCCCTCCTAAAGAGATCACATTTCATCTCCTGCCATCTTCCTTTCTCCCCAAAAGGATGTTACCATGGTTTGTTACACATGATTCAGGATCATCATATAGCTCAACCTTGTTAATGCCAGATTTCCTCAAAATCCATTATTCACACATCTCAGGCTCTCTGATGGTCATGAGATTATAAAGACTGCAAAGTCTTAACATAGATCATATCTTCCAGAATACCAAACTGGACAGAGTGATCACCACAGGAGGGAAGGCTAAGGGAATACTACATTCTGCCTGTAGCAGACATTGATGACCCAATCCCAGAATGCTCCTTTCAGACAGACCTTCGAGAACTGGGTTTGGGCATAATTACTTGAGTTCAAGGATTGCATTTTAGTGCACAGTGGGCAGCAGTACTACTGTACATTTTGATGTCAGGAATTTGTTTTTAAAAACTGAATTACCCTTTTTTGTGAAATGGTCTTTTATAGAAGATAATATGAATTTTGTTCAGGGTGAGTGTGATAGGCTGAGAAATGCTTCTCTGCTCTGCTTCCTGGAATTTGGTGCCTGTAGCAGTACGTTTTATAGTAGACTCATGAAACAGAACTTAGAGGGTATTGCCAGAAGAAAGGTATCCCAGAGTGAAACAATCCTAGGTTGGTTAGAACTCTTCTTTTGACAACAAAACTGTGTAGGTTTAAAGTAATAACCTAGTCTGATCTTTCAATTCTGTTTTGCTAACCTTTTCAGAAAAAAAAGAGAAGAAGGAAAAAGATAGAGAAAATGAGCGTGAGAGAAGTGCACTGAGCAGAGAGCGTATTCTCAAAAAAAGACAGTCCTTACCTGCTACAAAGAGCCGAGCGTCTCCCACTCTTGACATAAGGTACAGAGAAAAGCAGAGTAAAATAATAGTACGTGGTGTTGGCATTAGGGAACAAAGTTATAATTGTATTTGTTATTTACCAATAGTACAAAATCCAAAAACCGCCCGTCCTCCCCTTCCACACCTACCCGGCGCCCAGCCTCACCTTGCCTAAGTCCTTCACTATCAATAACCCCAAAGGTGACTCCTCCAAAGAGTGCACAGGGGACACCCAAACCAAAACCCAAAACAGAGAAGCTGAAGGAAGAGAAAACTCCCAGCAAAGTCAAAGAGAAAAAAGCAGAGCAGAAAGTTGAGAAGGAGAGGCAACCATCCCCTGCATCTCAGCCAGAAGAAACCAAGACACAGGAAACACCAGGGAACACTGCAAGTAGTGCTGCATCTATTACAGGTTTGTATTCTGTCATGTACCTGGTAACCTCCTCTTTTCTATTGCTAATTACTTCAGACCACACACAACTCCTTGGTTGATTTTGCAGTTATGACATATTTTCTTTGCACTTTCTTATTTAGAAGGCAATCTATGTTATTATGTAAGGGAGCACCATCCTAAAATGATTCAAATATTGGTCAAGTGACTGTCAGGTTTAAAAAAAACAAAAAGATGCACTGTGTATTACCTACCCTCCCTCCAGTCCAGTACTGCAGCATCCGTAAGAAGCTCCAGTATTTGGCACCTCTGAGAGTGTCAGATGCCATTGTCTCATGCCATGTGCTGTGCTTCAACCCTCCTACCTTTTGGTCACTGCTGAATCTTGTAGTGATGTCCCGGTCAGAGAATGGAACCATGGCATGCTTCAGGAGGCAGATGCACTCTCGCAATTGTCAAATGCTGATTATTCTTACGAAGGCTGCAGTGCCGAATTGATGGAAAGGTAGGAAACATGGGCTGCAGAGAGTTCCCTTGCAGGTAACTTTGTTCTTGAACTTTTTTAGACCAGACCGGGTCACTTGAAATATGTGTTCCACAGTATGTATGAATTACAGAAGCTAGGGCTTGTCCTATTGACAGCATTTAGAACCATGCACCTTGCCCTGTATACAATAAAATGTTTCTGTTTATTAAGCAATAGTGGTACAGCTAGATAGTGTTTTACATTATAGCGGAATATGTTATAAGGGTGTTATAGCTAAAGTAGTTGAAATAAAACTTTTCTTTCACTTTGTATTGAGCAGGAAAGTGACATTTTTAGTGCTGCCTGTGTCTCAGTTAAGGAGAAGTTTCTTCTCCTCCATTCCCAATGGCAGTGATCACTGTACAGGAGATATTTCCTATTCTTTTACCAAAGCATTTCATTATCATAAAATGGGTTAGAGTTAAAAATGCTGCAAGATGTTTATTGCTGATTTTATTCTCAGTGGGGCAATTCCATTTATTACCATTTCCAGTGATAGCAGTCAACTGGACTACAAAAGGGAAAATCACTCCCATTGTGACCCTTCTCAGCTCTATAAAAAAAATAAAATAAATCAGTGGTTGAGCTTGTGGGGAAGTAGTTCAGACATATGTGGCCTTTGGCCCACTTATTAGAGGACTGGTTGAGACATCCTCTGCCCAGACAAAATTGCAAATGCACTTGCAAACCCATCTGCCCTGAAAATCATGACAAGATAGATCAAGGTTAGAAATACCAGTTGGGAGACCCTGACCCCACCTACATTTGTATAGTGAAACCTTAAACATGGCATTGTTGTCGCAATATGTTGTGACTTGGAATTACGTTTGTTTTCATCTGCTTATACTCAAGCTGCAGTGTCTGCATTTTTCAAACCTGTATCTAAAGAAAAAGAAATTCCATGTCAATGATGCAAAACGTGGCTTCCTTTGTCTAATTTTTGTTTTATATTTTATATTTAGAGCCCGTTCTTTCCAGTAGTCCTGCTACTGCACAACCCCCTACCCCTGTCTCTGCTACGGTAATTGCACCTTCTCCTGTTCCGTCTCCAAGCAAGCCTATGGCTGGCACCACAGATAAAGATGAAGCTGCTCGCCTGCTAGCAGAAAAGAGGCGGCAGGCCAGGGAGCAAAGGGAAAGAGAGGAGCAAGAGAGGAGAGAGAGAGAGGAGCAGCAGAGGTGAGTGCTGTCCTAGTAATGGTAATTATTAAAGGTTTGGAATGATCCAAGTTGCTTTGAAGTACTATTACTGTAGCAATATCTTGGAGGCCATTAAAACTGAGTTTACGTTATGTCAAATGAAGCAGATTATCTGTATTCAGGGCAGCTGTTAAGGGATACAGCCAGCTCTCCTATACCAGACTCCATGGGGTCAGCAGGGTCCTAGCAGTGGCTGCTTTGGGTGGTCCATACAGCTTTCACAATCAGAACTCCATGTATTAACTGTATTTTGCAGCACATTGCACCACTGCACTGAGGAAGATAGTTCTGGTCCTGGCCACTTTATAGGTGGAGGCTTTTCTCATGTCTACAGCTAGAAGCGTGTGCCCTGCACTCTGCATTACCTACTACTGACAATCATGTGCGTTACATGTTTCTGACACCTGCACTACTTACTACTGACCTCTTCATTCTGTGTTGCATACTAAAAACCTCTTAACTTTATGCTACTTTCCTGAAACACATGTCTACAGTATAGGTGTGTGTAACCCTGCACTCTGCATTAGATAACACTGACATTGGAACTTGTGTTACTTGTGTTTGACCCATGCAATCAACGTTACTTACTACTTACCCCCAGGGCTGGTGCTTCCACTAGGCAAACTAGGCAGCTACCTAGGGCGCACTGCCACCTAGGGATGCCTGGGCGCAGCACAGGCTGGCACTCTCTCTGTGTGGGATGCTGCCATGTCAGTCGAGGGGAGGGGCAGTGGAGGGGAGGAAGAAAGGACAGGGGAAGATGTCGGGTGTCTGGGACCAGTGTAGCGGCTGATCTGCCACTCCTTCGAGTGTTCCTTTCGGACTCAGTCATTTACTGCAAGCTGGCTGGTGGCTGCTGATCACTGTGGAGTTCCTGCCTTTCTCTTCCCATTCATCAACAGACGCGGAGCTGCACCTGCGGAGGAAGGTAATGCCTGCCTCTGATGTCTTGTGTCTATGTGAGTGTGACCCGGCCGGCTAACCATCACATGTGCAATGTGTCAGTGAGTGATGACATCATCACCATCCCAAAGCCTGCTCTTCTAGTGCCTACTGTGCCTTCTAATCTGTCAGTGTTGGTGGTGGTGCATTGTGTCAGATCTGTCACTGTGTGTGTGTGTGTGTGTGTGTGTGTGTGTGTGTGTGTGTGTGTGCGCGCGCGCTGGTCTGCCTGCTGTCATAGCGTTTTATTTCCCCACTCCTCAATTGCTGGGGAATTCCAGTCTGGGATCTGTCACCCAATGAGTCCACTCACTGCATCTGTCACCCAGCCACAGATACACTTCGTCGGTGACACTGTTTTTTCTTTAATATTGGTGGCGGTGGCATTTTCTGGCACTTATATTTGCAAATTACTCACTTGCCTTCCTGAGGATTTACCCCCTTCCTGACCAGGCCATTTTTTGCATTACGGCGCTGCCTTACTTTAACTGACAATTGAGTGGTCATGCAACGCTGCACCCAAATTAAATTTACGTCCTTTTTTCACATGACTTGAGCTTTCTTTCGGTGGTATTTGATCTCCTGTGAGGTTTTTCATTTTGTTGCGCTATAAAAAAATAAGACCGACAATTTTCAGAAAAAAAAAACAATATTTGTGACTTTTTTCTATTAAACCTGTCCAGTAAAAAAATTTAAATCAAATTTTGTCATGAATTTAGGCCAAAATATATTCTGCTATGTGTCTTTGCTGAAAAAAAAATCCCAATACGTGTAAATTAATTGGTTTACATGAAATTTATAACGTTTACAAATGGTGGAAAATATACTGGGGATTTTTTTTTTTTTTTTTTAACTTTCACTAGCAATTACGGCAATCAGTGAATTATAGCGGAACTGCGGCAGGCATTTTGACATTGGGGGAACTGACTTGGTGACACAATACAGTGATCAGTGCTAAGAAAAAAAAAAAGCACTGACACTACTAATGGCACTGGGCAGGAAGAGGTTAACATGTGGGGCGATCAAGGGGTTAACTGTGTGCTGTGTTCGTGTGCTTCACTGTAAGCAAACTGCTTTGGATGGTTGTGCTGTGCACAGCCATCCAAAGCAGTGTGCACGAGCTGACAGGGAGGAGAACTGTATTGTTTACATACAGTTCTCCTCCCCGTCGGAGATGCTTGTAAATTACCGTGCGCCGGCAAGTAATCACTGGCGCGGGACCCGGTGATCGACACACGAAATTCCGCACTCTGTCACTTATCAAAATCTACTAAACCCAAAAGAAAAGTAAACTTTCACCCTTGAAAGTATAAATACATAAAACTAAACTCCTAAACTTCTTTACACCTAAATACGTCTAACTCAATATATAATACATTAAAAAAGATAAAAATTAATAATAAATAAATCCCAGAAAAATAAATAAACCTATATAGTCCAAAAGCAAAAACCCCCAAAAATATATAAATAAAATGTCCAAAGTGTCTCTGTAGAAAAGTCTTTCCAAATTCTCAAACCAACTCGTATCCCTCTTCAATCATGCAGAATGGAATCTCCAAAATTCTTTGTGAACCTCAAAAAAATATATAAACTAATGACAGTGTATTACCCTTACACTGAGCAAACATGCAAACTTGTGAAAACCGTGTATCATACCAACTGCATAACGTGTACTCACACGTGAAAAAATAAATAAATATATAAAAATCAGTCAATAAATAAATATACTTGTGATGATGATCAAAATCGTGCCCATTCCAACTTCAAACTGTGAAACATAAGTGATCACTCCAAATAGTGAAATAAACCCCAAAAACTCTATTAGTGAGCACTACACACTCAATAATAGTGAAACAAAAAAGTGATCTCCTTCAACTGGTTGCTTTTGGACTATATAGGTTTATTGTATTTTTCTGGGAATTATTTATTATTTATTATTATTATTTTAATATTCATTTTTGTATTAATGTATTCTATATTGAGTTAGACGTATTTAGGTGTAAAGAAGAGTTTAGTTTTATGGATCGACAGACACGGCCGCAAATGGTGGCGCGGGTAGGACGCAGGCACGTCCCCTACCCAAAAATGCAAAATCACATGATTTTGCGCACCCGTGTCGACTTGTAGCAGTATATCTGCTATAGGGCAGTCAGGAAGCGGTTAAATGAAATTGAGCAGTTTTCACGTTTTGTTGATTTAATATATTTTTTACTGTTTTTTTTTTTTTTTTTAAGAATTATTTAATTTTTTTATTTAATTTTTTTTTTTGGGGGGGGGGGGGGCACTAGTAGCTGGTCTTGCCTAGGGCGCAAAATAGTGCAGCACCGGCCCTGCTTACACCTGCACCTGCTTACACCTGCACTACTCTCTACTGATCTCTGAACTCTCCATTACTCTGCATGACATATTACTGACCTCTGAACTCTTCAAACCTTTCTTCCTTTTAAGTGGGGCTATGCTAGGTTATCTCCTTTAAAAAAAAAAAAAAGTGTGATTCAGTTATCTTTGATCACTTCCATGTTCTTTAGGTAAATCTCCACCCCTCCAGGGTTGCCTAAGCTGATTTAGCATTTTAAATTTGTCTAAAACAAAAACTATTTGTGCACTTATAAGCTGTCTACTTTTTTTTATTATTTTCTTCTTGCTCTGGCTTGTGTGCACCTGGTCACTCTCTGCAAAATCCTGTAGCTACAGGTAGTCTGGTATTTGGAATGTCCCTGTTCTCATGACTGTGACTTTTTATAGACCCTAAATTTTCATACACATGCCCTTTTGTACTTATGCATGCCCTATGGTTGCCTCATTATAATTTATGCAAGCCCATGATCATTTAGCCCCTCAAAAAGTTCTGGAAGCTTTGTCTAGAGATGTACAGTAGGTGCTAGAAAGACTCTAGCACAGAATGACTGGCAAGAGACTGCACTGCCGCTTACACTCACAAATTGTTGCTTAACCACTTCAATTCCGGACACTTTACCCCCTTCCTGTCCAGGCCAATTTTTCAGCTTTCAGCGCTATCACACTTTGAATGACAATTGCGTGGTCATGCAACACTCTACCCATATGAATTTGTTTGCATTTTTTTGAGTCTGATAAACCTTTATTTTGGTGGTATTTAGTCACCACTGGGATTTTTATTTTGTTTTTGCTTTATAAATTAAAAAGTTTTTCTTATAAAATTTTGCAAATAAATAAGCTTTCTTCATAAATCTTGGCCAAAATGTATTCAGTTATCTTCTTAGTAAAAAAAATAACCAAAATTAGTTTATAACCAAAAATTATAATTTCTATATTTATATTTTTTTTACATTTTTATTTTATTTTTTTTATATTTATGGGTTTTTTTTGTTTTTTTTTACATACTGTCACTCTAGTAGTACAGTGTACTACTTGTGGGGGGTTTTGAAGATTTTTTTTTTTTTTACACTGATTGCTTTTACACCCATAAAGGTTGTAAAAGCAATAATTTCTCCTTCTCTCTGGCTGCATTCTTGCAGTCATTGAGAAGTACTGAGTGAGCTGTGATTGGTCACAGCTTGTCACATGGTACAAGGCTGTTGTGAATAGCCTTGTACCATGTGACCTCTGTGATCATTCACAGATTTCACACGTAGTAAGCAATGATGTCAGAAGTGACATCTTGCTTACTATTCATGTGATCACTGATTGGCCAATAAGTGATCACATGATCGGGACCTCGCACAGAGGTCCCATACAACGATCGGTGTTCCACTGTGTCAAGCAGGGGGCGGGGAGGCCATTTATAAACAGCCACCCGCCCCTGCACTGCCACCGTCCGTGCCACCGTCCGGCCGCTTATATACAACAGCCGGACGGGAAGTGGTTAAAGCAGTGTTAAACCCAAAACCAACAACGTACTATATTTGCAGCTTACCAATCATTAGATGTGGCTACACTAGGTTTTTTTTTTTTTTTTTTTTTTTTTTTTTCTTATTTCTTTTCTCCCCCGGTGATCCGGCCAATAACACACAACATGTATTAGAGTGCCAACACTCTGGTTGAAGGAGCACAGGGGCACCCTTGGACAGTAGTATTATCAGTTGAAGGTGACCTCTATCTAAAACTTTATAACCATTTTTTGTTTTTTTTTTGTTTTGGAAATATATTTTTACATAAATAAAACTTTTCTAAGCACCACTGCCAGTGTTGAATGGCTTCTCTCATCCCTGTAACTGATACATGTGCATGTGCTGGCCAGATCACCAGATGAAAATAAAAGCCTAAAAAATAAACAAATGCAGCCATCACTTCCAAGAATTGGTAAGCTTCAATATAATAAATGTTTGTTTCTGGGTTGAATACCACTTTAATCTGTGTCCAAGGGAACATGGTAAAGGTACATCAAGGAGTCCTTCAGATTTTACTCTTATGGCAGTGTTTTGCAAACTTGAATGTCTGATGATGCTTGTTGTTTGGATTCTTGAATCAGTTGTAGTATTAGTAGCATCTGATTTTAAAAACCGTTTTCCTGCTTTTCACATAGAAAGGGTTCTGATTGCTTATTACATTGTCAGAGTCAGAAGCTATGTTAGTTGTTTGTTCACGAACACCTGGTTCAGATTGCTGTGTCTGCCCTGTTATTAATGACAGAATGCTGTTTTTCTACAGGAGAGAACGTGAAGAGCGTGCTCTCAGGGAGGCTGAGGAAAGGATGCAGAGGGAGGCAGAAGCTCTACAGTTGGAGGAGCAAAGGAAGCTGGAGGAGGAGGAGAAACAACAGCGTGAGGAGGAACAAAGAAAGAAAGAAGCTGAGGATAAAGCCAAAGCTGAACAAGAAGAGATGGAGAGACTGCAGAAACAAGTGAGAATCATAAAGATTATTCTACGCAGCACAAATTTGTATTGGGGAGTTATTACTGCTCTTGTAGATTCAGGCTGCTTATCACAAGACTTTGGTACCACATGGAGTAATTACATTTAAGCCAGGATTGTACTGAGCCCTGCAGCACAGAAGTTATCGACACGGATGTCCTGTTCCCCGATCATATGACAGATTCAGTTCACACAGTGTGCTGTGGTTGTATACACTATACAAATGCCTTTCAGATGTTGCTGATGAATCCTGTTTCGGGGATGTTACTTTGCTGCCCCCTAATGGGGGTTCATCTAATTTCCATCTTATTAAAAACCCATACTGAGTCTTTTGTACACAAGTGTCTGAGAACCTTGGTGTTATCATGCCATATTCCAGTTGTCCTTTTCTATTGGAGGTTAAAAAAAAAATAAAATAATTTGTTATGCAATTAGGCACATCAGTGATTTTTTAGATGATGTCCTCATACGTGAGACACATTTGGTATAGTGTCCTGTTATCATTCTGATGTAATTACACTAAAATTTAATACGAAATTTACCAAAAGACTAAAGTTTATAGGATACAATTAGGCCTTACAAAGAAGACATTGAATACTCATATCTTCTGTTTCTTGCACCACCAGTGTATGCAGTAGCAATGAACCTAATGCACCTAATAAAGATCCTGTAGTATTTCTAGTCCCCCGATGATGCCAGTGGTTCGATCTATTGTCCATCTGTACTATTGTCTGTAGTGACCTAGGGGCCAGTGGGAGGAACCTAGCGTGTAGCATGGAAACAGCTTTGGTATCTCCTACTACTTTTGCTGCATAGAAACATCCTGCACAGTAGAATCATAATGCCTCAAAGCCAGATACAGTCCTCAGTGCTGTCATGCAGCCATCTCAAAAATAGTTCCTGCATTGAGGTGAAAGGAATGTGACAGATGCAGTCCTCCTTCAGCAAAAAAGAGTATATGTTAGCTATACACTGCCTGTATAAATTAACCATAGATATTCCCTTGTTTATTTCTCAGTATTGGAGACAAGAATCCAAAAATTATAAATGCATAACTGGTCTCTACAAAATAGTTGTCAGACCTGACTAAATCCAGTATAAATGAAGAACACTTAGGAAATAAGGATCTGATCTGAACACAGATATTTTATTTGTACTATTGGTGCAGCATCTTTGCAAGCTAGCAATTGCATATTCTCTCTGCACTTGTGCTTAAGCTCAGTAGTCCTTTAGCTTTCTTTAATATGTGTGTATATTTTCAATATATTGTAGAAATCTTTTTTAGTTTAGTTTATTCCATGAATATATGAAACTGCTATCCTGTTATTGAGAAATAAGAATGAAAGCCTAGTCCAACATCTTTTCATAGAAGGAGGAAGCTGAAGCAAGGGCTCGAGAAGAAGCAGAAAAGCAGAGGCTAGAGAGAGGAGCAGCATTTCCAGAGAGAAGAGCAGGAGCGCCTAGAACGTAAGAAGGTAACGGATGCTGTGTTCTGCACTGTTTTAAGCTACATCTCGTATGTGTTGCCTGAGTGAATAAGGCAAGCGTTTTGACATTTGTAATTGCATTTATTACAGTGGGTGGGTTTATTACTTGGGTTCTTTAAAAAAAAATCCCTAGCTCTGTTTTCTAAATTTTTATCATATGATATTCTTCAACAGTTTTTGGGTTAAAAAAATGCCTGTTGGAATAGGCACCAGTCTTTTGATAGTGATGCTTTCTTAAAGTTGTTGTAAATGCTCAAGGTAAAAAACCTTGCAGAAAGACCGCTCCCACCACCCAATACTTGAGCTGCATAGCGATACATAGCTGTTTTTTTTTTTTGTTTTTTTTTTTTTTTAAATTGCCTTCAATATTACTTTAATTTCTTTTGGTGGGGGGTTCTAAAGATGAAGGGTACTTGGCCTGGTATCAACATGGAACAGAGACGGCACACTTGTTAGTGCTTTAGCTGTAAAGAAACCAGACTGTATCCTTGGAGTGTGTATTTATATATGTATGTGTGTATGTATGTACACACACACACCTTAGATGACAAAATCTTCAGTTTTCCTCAAATTAGTTGTTGCAAAAATGAATACACCCCACGACAAAAACTACTACATCTAGTCTTTTGTATGATCTCCATGATTTGTAAGGATAGCACCAAGTCTTCTAGGCATGGAATAAACAAGTTGGGGACATATTGCAACGTCTGTCTTTTTCCATTCTTTAAGAACGAACTCTTTTAGAGCCTGGATGCTGGATGGAGAGTGATGCTCAACTTATCTCTTCAGAATTCCCCATAAGTGTTTGGGTTCAGATCAGGAGAAATTATTGGCCACTGAATCACTTGCACACTGTTCTTCAGAAATGCAACAGTGGCCTTAAATGTGTGTTTTGGATCATTGTCATGTTGGAAAAGTGCATGACGACCAAGGGAATTTAGAGCAGTGCATCTGTGAATTCATGAGATAATCAATGAAATGCAGCTTTCCGACACCAGCAGCACTCATGCAGCCCCACAGAAGGACATTGCCACCACCATGTTTCACTGTAGGCATCATGCATTTTTCATTGTACTCCTCCCCTTTGCGACGCCATACAGTTTTGAAGCCATCAGTTCCAAAAACATTTAACTTGGTCTCATCACTCCAGAGTCCCAATAGTAGTCTTTTTCAGCATTGGCCCTGGCAAAATATAGGTGTTTTTTTTGTGCATGGGCTTTAGGAGAGGCTTCCATCATGGACGACACCCATGCATGCCATTCCTCTGCAGTGTACGCCATATTGTGTAATGGGAAACAATAACCCCAGTTTAGCTTTCTACTTCTTTAGCTAACTGCAGTGAACTTGTAAGGTGATTTTCTTCAACCCTTCTCATCAGAAGATGCTCCTGTCGAGGTGTTAAAGCAATTCTAAAGGTCCATTTTTTTTTTTGTAAAATGACAAACACATCTATACTTACTATGTGCAGTGGTTTTGCACAGAACAGCCTGGATCTTCCTCTTCTAGGGTCCCCCCAGGTTCTCCTAGCTCCTCCTGTCTGTCGGGTGCCCCCACAACAAACCGCTTGCTATGGGGGCAACCGCTGCTCCATGTGTCCATTCACACATGGAACCGCGGCTTGGCGCCACCCCCTCTCACCTCATTGGCTGACTGGCTGTGATTGACAGCGAGCAGGAGCCAATGGCTCCTGCTCACTGTCTCAGCCAGTGAGGAGGCAGAGACCTGGAAAGCCGAGGCTGTCATTCACATCATGGTGAGTGTGGCTAAAAAAAGACGAAAGGCCATCCAGTTCAACCATATAAAAAAAAGTTATAATCCTACACCCACAGTGGATCCAGAGGAAGGCAAAAAAACCAGCAAAGCATGATGCAATTTGCTCCTGCAGGGGAGAAATTCCTTTCTGATCCGCCAAGAGGCAATCGAATATTCCCTGGATCAACTTTACCTATAAATGTTAGTAACCAGTTATATTCTGTGTACCCAAGAAAGAATCCAGGCCTTTTTTTAAAGCAATCCACTGAGCTGACCAGAACCAACTCTTGAGGGAGTCTATTCCACATTGTCACAGCTCTTACTGTGAAGAAACCTTTCCATGTTTGGAGATTAAATTTCTTTTCCTCCAGATGTAAAGAGTGCCCCCTTGTCCTCTGTGTGGACCTCAGGGTGACTAACTCTACACCGAGTTCACTATATGAACCACTGACGTATTTATACATGCTGATCAAATCCCCTCTTAATCTCCTCTTCTCAAGAGAGAATAAATTCAGTTCCTCTAATCTTTCCACATAGCTGATCTCCTCCATGCCTCTTATCAGTTTGGTTGCCCTTTCTCCAGTTCCCCAATATCCTTTTTGTGAATTGTGCCTAAAATTGAACTGCATATTCCAGATGAGGTATTACTAATGATTTGTACAGGGGTAAAATGATATTTCTTTCTCCGGAGTCTATACTTCTTTTAATACAAGAAAGGATTTTGCTCGCTTTAAGAACCGCAGCTTGGAATTGCATGCCATTATTAAGCTTATTAAGGGTCTCAACACTGAACCTTGGGGTACAACACTGACAACCCTAGACCATTCAGAGTATGAATCATTAATCACTACTCTCTGAATACGATCTTTTAGCCAGTTTTCTATTCATTGACATACAGATTTTTCCAAGTCTCTAGACCTGACACATTAGCCGTGTGTGGGGAACTGTGTCAAACGCTTTTGAAAAATCCAAGTATACCACGTCCACTGCCACCCCTCTGTCCAAGGTTTTGCTCACTTCCTCATAAAGATTTGTTTGATGACTTCTGTCTTTCATGAATCCATGCTGCTGGATCGTGATGGGGCTCAGGTAAGTATTGAGGGGGCTGTGGGCACTGCTGCACGCAGAAGGATTTTTACCTTCAGGCATAGAATGTCATAAAAAACCTTCACCCTTTACAACCACTTCGTGGATGACACCCATGCATGCCATTCCTCTGCAGTGTACACCATATTGTGTCACGGCAAACACCCACCCCAGTTTGGCTTTCTACTTCTTTAGCTAACTGCAGTGAACTTGCACGGCGATTTTCTTCAACCCTTCTTATCAGAAAACGCTCCTGTTGAGGTAACTTCCATGGACAGCCTGGACATCTCTGTGAAATGGTTGTTGTTCCATCTTTGTTAAATTTTCGTGTCACTTATGCTACAGTATTTTGACTGATAAGTTAAGCTTTGCTGATCTTCTTGTAGCCTTCACCTTTTTTGTGTAAAAAAAATGATTTACTTTCTCAGGCCTTGTGACATTTCTCTTCCTTGTGGTGCCATTGCTGACAGCATGAAAAGGGAAAGGGTTTTCTTTAAGTAACTCCCTTTTACAATCAACTGTCTGCCGGACACCTGTTTAATGAATGATTAGATTTACCTGTAGTTGAATTCTTAATTAGGATTTTATTATCTAAAATTTAGCTTTTACTCTCCGAAGAATTTCATTGGGGTGTATTAATTTTTGCAACATGGACTTGCATGAATCTGTTAGGAAAAAGACTTTTGTGTGTTTGCAAATTAACAAATCTTGCTTGCAGTCAATGGCCCACATTTGTGGGAGTATTTTATGTCCCTACCCTAGTTTGTGTGTTCTTTAGCAAGGCAGTGGTCATCTTGGAGGTGTGTTTGGTGTTGATATGTTGGAATACTGCCCTGTGGCCCAGTCTCTGAAGAGAGGTGATCAATCTCTGCTTCAGTATGTCACAGTACAAGTTGGCATTCTTGCTTCCCTCAATGAACTGTAGCTCCCCAGTGCTGGCAGCACTCATGCAGCCCCAGACCATGACACTCCCACAACCCTGCTTAACTGTAGGCAAGACACACTTGTCTTTGTACTCACTGGTTTGCCGCCACACGTTTGACACCATCTGAACCAAATAAGTTTATCTTGGTCTCATCAGACCACAGAACATGGTTCCAGTAATCCATGTCCTTAGTCTGCTTGTCTTCTGCAAACTGTTTGCGGGCTTTACTGTGCCTCATCTTTAGAAGAGGCTTCCTTCTCCTTCGTGGACGACCGCCATGCAGACCAATTTGATGCAGTGTACGGCGTATGGTCTGAGCACTGACAGGCTGACCCCCCACCCCTTTAACCTCTGCAGCAATGCTGGCAGAACTCATACATCTATTTCCCAAAGACAACCTCTGGATATGACACTGAGCACGTGCACACAACTTCTTTGGTCGACCATGGCAAGGCCTGTTCTGAGTGGAGCCTGTCCTGTTAAACCACTGTATGGTCTTGGCCACCGTGTTGCAGCTCAGTTTCAAGGTCTTGGCAATCTTCTTATAGCCTAGGCCATCTTTATGTAGAGCAACAATTCCTATTTCAAATCCTCAGAGAGTTCTTTGCCATACTGCGGACGGGCGGTAGCTGCAGGCAAAGCGTCATACCTGTATGTTGCTTTGTTCTTCTGGGTTTAGACCGCGCATGGCGTGTGCCCCCCTGCTGACCCCCACTGTCATTTGTTGTAGGAGGTGTATGTCAGCAAGTCTGGGCCAGAGATTTTGGACAGGACTCTTCCGATCTCCTACAGCGAATGGAAATGCATTTGCATTTGTAAATGCAGGCACAGGATCTAGCTGGTTCTTCTCTCCCTGGAATCATTTTGTTCCAGGGAGAGAAGAGACATCACATGTGAGTAAAAGCAGCACACTGCACCCACATACGTTAGAGACATTTTAACCCCTTGATTGTCACATTTAACCCTTTGCCCCCTGCCAGTGCCATTAGTACAGTGTCAGTGTACAGTATTTTTCACTGATCACTGTATTAGTGCCACTAGCAACGTCAGATAGTGTCAGGGTCAGTTAGCATCCCTCCCAGCTAGGATCAGCTAGCGTACCCACACACTATTGCACTCACGCTATAGGTCGCTGATCACTGGCATTACTAGTATAGTGTGCGTACGGAGCAATATATTGATCACTAACAAAACTATACCAGTGCCCCCTTAGTATTAGTGTCCCCAAAAACACAGTGTTAACAGGATCATCCCCGTTTGCTGCCAGCACTAGCGTTTAGCCCCACCACTCCCCACCCCTAGTAAGAAGTGCAGTGTCAGTATAATTTCTGATCACTGTCACCTGTAATACATTGCACACAAAACTGCAGTGTTCACAGAATCAGGCCTGATCTCTGTTAGCACTTGCTGGTAAATTATTTTGTAGTTCAAGCAGTCTCTGACAGCCAGGTGCTCTTTTTTTACGTGAGTCACACTAGGTACCTGTAAATTTAGAGTCCAAAATGTCCAAGGAAAGGTACACTAGTGTAAAGGCCTACAAGATTCTGAGCATGTCAGGTGAGAGCGAAGGGGAAGACTCCCTGACACAATCAACCTCAGAATACGAACCTGTAGACAGCAGCGGCACCCTGACAGGTTGCTCGGACGATGGAGAAGAGGTCCTTGTTAAGATCAGGCGTACCCGACCCCATGAAGCTGAAGTGCTAAGATTGCATGTCTTGTCTCATATGCAGCAATGAAAGGGACAGTGTAAAAATAATTTTAAAAAATCTAAATGACTTAAAAAAAAAAATAAATAAAAAAAATAAAAAAAAACCCTCTCTCCTCTCAAATACCCCCCCCCTCCCGCTTGCAAGCACTGACCCTGTGCCAGTAAGTAACAAGCGGTTGCACCATGACTTTGAGGTATCGCTGTGAACGTCAGATCAAGGGCAGTAATTCTTGCACTAGACCTCCTCTGTAAATGGTATCTTGTAAAGGCTTTTAAAGCGTTGCCTATGGATAATAAAAATGTATGCAGTTTGTCACCATTGCACGGGGCATGCATAGTTTTAAAGCATGCCATGTTTGGTATCTATTTACTTGGCATACCATCATCTACCAAATAATTGGCCAATATATTGTTTTTTGTGCATTAAAAGTGAAAAAAAAAGTGTATTTTTTTCAAATAATTTTGCATTTTAAAAAATCGCTGCACGAGTACTATGTGACATAAAAAATTGCAGCACCCACCATTTCATTCACTAGGGTGTTTGCTTTAAAAATATAAAATGTTTGGGGTTTCAAAGTAATTTCCTCGCAAAAAATGCTGATGTTTTTCATGTGAACACAAAGTGTCAGAAAAGACTTATTCTTCAGGTGATTAGAAGAGTGAATGATGTGTGGCATAAACTTCTAATGCTTGGCATAAAATGCCCCCACCCACCAATAAGAATCCTTTTTGGAAAGTAGACACCCCAAACTATTTGTTGAGAGGCATGTTGAATCAATAGAATAATTAAATTTTTTTCCCACAAGTTTTTGGAGAATTACAAAAAAAATATTTTTTTTTTACAAGTGTCACTTAAATGATTAATTGCTCACACGTGCCATGGGTATATGTGGAATTACTCCCCAAAATACATTCTGCTACTTCTCCCGAGTATGGAGGTACCACATTTGAGAGACTTTTTGGCAGTATAGCCAAGGACCCCAAAATCCAATAAGCACCTTCAGACTTTTAAAGGGATTTATTACGCTTCCCGACTACCTATCACAGTTTCGGAGGCCCTGAAATGCCAGGATAGCACCAAACCCCCCAAATGACCCCTTTTTGGAAAGTAGACACCCCAAGGAATTTGATAAGAAGCATGGTGAGTATTTTGCAGATCTCATTTGTTGCCACAAGTTTTTGGAATATGAAGAAAGAAAACAAAAACATATTTTTTCTTTTCTTTTTTTATATTTCAAAACCTTGTGAGAAAAAATGAGATCTGCAAAATACTCACCATGCCTCTTTTTAAATTCCTTGGGGTGTCTACTTTCCAAAAAGGGGTCATTTTGGGGAGGTTTGGTGCTATCCTGGCATTTCAGGGCTTCCGAAGTGAGGAAGTGAAATGAGGAAGTTACGCACCTTCAGGCTTTCAAAGTGGTCATTGGATTTCAGGCTCCTGTATGTGGCTAGGCTCCCAAAAAGTCTCACACATGTGGTATACCCATACTACTCAGTAGAAGTAGCAGAATGTTTTTTGGGGTGTAATTCCACATATACCCATGGTTTGTGTGAGCAATATATTGTGACAACTTTGTGTGAAAAAAAAAAAAAAGTTTTTGTCATTTTCCAAAGACTTGTGGAAAAAAAAATTTTTTCCATGGACTCAATATGCCTCTCAGCATAAAATTTTGAGTTTATGATATATTTTTTATAGCCGAAAGTAAAAAATATAGTTTTTTTTTTTATTTTGTTTTTTTTTTTTTGTTTATAGCACGAAAAATAAAAGCGCACAGGTGATCAAATACCACCAAAAGAAAGATCTCCTTTTTTTAAAAAAAAAAGGACATAAATTTAGTTTGGGTACAGCATTGCATGACCACGCAATTACCAGTTGAAATAGTGCAGCGCTGTATAGCAAAAAAAGGCCTAGTCAGAAAGGGGGGGGGGGGGGGGGGGGGGTAAATCCTCATGGAGGTTAAATAAGACCGGTCCCACATGTGTACTAGGCAGTAAAACTCTGCGCCTTGGAAAAGTTTACATCACAATCATAACTCTTTGGAAGCATTACATTATGTAAGAAGGGATTATCCTGAACTGAATCCCTCTTTAGCCTCCTAAAATATTCTTTTAATTTCACTGTTATTTTTGTGCAGTTTGCGGATTTGTTACTTGCACACTTACACTGTCTGTAGAATTATAAGATTGCCTGTGGTTTGACTATTACATTTGTAAATTAATTTAAACAAGGGTCTCTTGGCTTCCTTCAGAATAGGAGCTTTGTTACTGTTTCACAATCAAAGCTCTATTGCTTGTAAAAAATTTACTGAGCCCTCAGTGATGAGACAGGTGCATTTTTTGCCCACAACACATTTATATTTTAACATCCACATCTCTCTGTATGTACAGATGATGCTCTCCATATATCATATTCTTCCACTCTGTTTTCTTACATTAAATAGTATTGCTGCTATACCTTTGATGTGATGTTTAATACTGAATAATCTTTTTTTTTTTTTTTTTTTTTTTACATATTTTAGCGCCTTGAAGAAATAATGAAAAGGACAAGAAAATCAGACATATCAGGCAAAGTGAGTACAAAAAAGTGTTTAATAATTAACACAGCAAAGAAGATCAAAAACATTTTACCGTGACAAATCAATAAAAGGCAAGTTGTCTTGCACTGATAGAATGAACAGAAGAATTTTGGATAAGCACATTGAAATTAGGAATCTGGTGAAAAATTGGTCAGCTAATTTAATTAAATTTAACTACTGGTGCTTGTGAATGTCGCTTGTTCAGATTGGTTAAAAGAGAACTCTCTGCCAAAAAAAACAGTATCAATCTACAAAAGTACAACCTGCCCCTTAAATATCACAAGACCCCTAGAAAGCAGTTTGAACCATGTGCAGTTGAGAGCTGCTTGTGCTCTGGATGGGCATTTATGTTATTGTAAACAACAGCAATATATAAGGTAGTGTATACCACTTGTCTGTAAAATGGCTTGATTGTAAATGGTAAATAAATTAAGATGGAAATGTAAGGAGCTGCCAGACTCTTCCAATGCTGTTTATTTTGGTTGGCGCTGATTGAGCAAGATTTTAAAAGATATCCAATCAATTACTCCACTTGGGACCAGGACCAGGCCATTTTCTGCACATGAGATTTAAGAGGGGCAACTATTAAGCTGCATCTAGCCAAATAGATATGTACATTTGTAGCGCCAAATTGTTATTCCTACCACAAATTGTGTAGCAAAAAGTTCACTATAACTTTGAAATATAGCCAATCCATCACAGACACACCTGCCCAATGATCAGTTTAAGGAAAACATTTCATTTATTGGATTAGAATGAAACATTAGAGAAGATAACTGCCAAATAGACATGGTACTGCAATAATACATATAGTGGGGCAAAAAAGTATTTAGTCACCAATTGTGCAAGTTCTCCCACTTAAAAAGAAGAGAGAGGCCTGTAATTGGCATCATAGGTAGACCTCAACTATGAGAGACAAAATGAGAAAAAAAATCCAGACAATCACATTGGCTGATTTGGAAAGAATTTATTTGCAAATTACGGTGGAAAATAAGTATTTGGTCACCTACAAACAAGCAAGATTTCTGGCTCTCACAGACTTGTACCTTCTTCTTTAAGAGGCTCCTCTGTCCTGCACTCATTACCTGTATCAATGGCACCTCTTTGAACTTGTTATCAGTATAAAAGACACCTGTCCACAACCTCAAACAGTCACACTCCAAACTCCACTATGGTGAAGACCAAAGAGCTGTCGAAGGACACCAGAAACAAACTTGTAGACCTGCACCAGGCTGGAAAGACTGAATCTGCAATAGGCAACCAGCTTGGTGTGAACAAATCAACTGTGGGAGCAATAATTAGAAAATGGAAGACATACAAGACCACTGATAATCTCCCTCGATCTGGGGCTTTACGCAAGATCTTACCCCGTGGAGTCAAAATGATCACAAGAACGGTGAGCAAAAATCCCAGGACCACACGGGGGGACCTAGTGAATGACCTGCAGAGAGCTGAGACCAACGTAACAAAGGCTACCATCAGTAACACACTACGCCACCAGGGACTCAGATCCTGCAGTGCCAGACGTGTCCCCCTGCTTAAGCCAGTACATGTCCAGGCCCGTATGAAGTTTGCTAGAGAGCATTTGGATGATCCAGAAGAGGATTGGGAGAATGTCATATGGTCAGTTGAAACCAAAATAGAACTGTTTGGTAGAAACACAACTCATCATGTTTGGAGGAGAGAGAATGCTGAGTTGGATCCAAAGAACACCATACCTACTGTGAAGCATGGGGGTGGCAACATCATGCTTTGAGGCTGTTTCTCCGCAAAGGGACAAGGACAACCGATCCATGTACCGGACAGAATGAATGGGGCCATGTATCGTGAGATTTTGAGTGCAAACCTCCTTCCATCAGCAAGGGTATTGAAGATGAAACGTGACTGGGTCTTCCAACATGACAATGATCCCCAAACATACCACCCGGGAAACGAAGGAGTGGCTTCGTAAGAAGCATTTCAAGGTCCTGGAGTGGCCTAGCCAGTCTCCAGATCTCTACCCCAGAAAACCTTTGGAGGGAGTTGAAAGTCCGTGTTGCCCAGCGACAGCCCCAAAACATCACTGCTCTAGAGGAGATCTGCATGGAGGAATGGCCCAACATACCAGCAACAGTGTGTGCCAACCTTGTGAAGACTTACAGGAAACGTTTGACCTCTGTCGTTGTCAACAAAGGATATATAACAAAGTATTGAGATGAACTTTTGATATTCACCAAATACTTATTTTCTACCATAATTTGCAAATAAATTCTTTCCGAATCAGCCAATGTGATTGTCTGGATTTTTTTTTCTCATTTTGTCTCTCATAGTTGAGGTGTACCTATGATGCCAATTACAGGCCTCTCTCATCTTTTTAAGTTGGAGAACTTGCACAATTGGTGGCTGACTAAATACTTTTTTGCCCCACTGTATGTATGTGGGGAAATTTTGCTGTAGATGCTAGAAAGGATGGAATAATAATTGTATAAACAATAGTGCTCTTATCCATTTAACTGAGGATGTCCATTAAAGTAACCAGTTGTAATTTGATGAAGGGTCTACACCAGGGGTGGGCAAACTTTTTGACTTGAGGGCCGCAATGGGTTCATATATTGGACCCGGGGGCCGGACCAAGAGTAGATGAATTATGTGTATGTGTCATCCATAGTAAGTATAGTAATATTCCCCCATAGTAAGCATAGTAATTAATCCCCCATATAGTAATTCATCCCCCATATAGTAATTCATCCCCCATATAGTAATTCATCCCCCATATAGTAATTCATCCACCATATAGTAATTCATCCCCATATAGTAATTCATCCCCCCTATAGTAATTCATCCCCCCTATAGTAATTCATCCCCCATATTAAGTCCCCAAGTCCCCCCTGTGTCAATTCACTTACCTTTGCTCCGCGCGTTCCTCTCGTCGTGTTCCCACGCCGTTCCGGTGTAGCATGAAAATCTGTCTCCTATGAGGATCTGTCCCCCTCGACGTATCTGCGCATGTGCCAGTTTCAGGCATTAGCAGCCGATCGGCGATCTCCGGCACATGCGCAGATACGTCGAGGGGGACAGATCCTCATAGGAGACAGATTTTCATGCTACACCGTTCTTCAGGGCGGACTGTGAGAGGAGCCTAGCTCCGCGGGCCGATTAAAAGGTCCGCCGGCCGTATACGGCCGTAGTTTGCCCATTGCTGGTCTACACTGTTAAAAGGAGGCCATTGTTATACATGTGGTGCAATTTTACACCATCTTCATTGTACATTTTCAACCACAATAGCTTGAATTCACCAAAGCATAACAAGCTAGGTCTTTTCATTTCTGTGCAATATTTGTCTTGTTTTCACGTTAAAATAATGTTTGTTGAATTCACTAAAGGTATTGCTACATACATCAGACTGCATGCTTGCTACTTTAGCCATTTTTAAGTATTTTGACTATTAAAGTAATGTCATATATATCAATATAATTTTGTACCTTGAAATACTGCTTGCTTTAGGCTGGTGATAAGTGTGAGTTTGAATATTATTATTAAGGAAAGCAGATAAAAAGCCATTTAAGGGGGTAATAAAATAATACCACTTGAGATGTTCTTTTTAAAGAACCTACAAGTAAAATAACTCCTGTGACTTTGTGAAACATGGCTAATAAATCCTGTTATGTATGTAATCATGTTATTTATTAATCCACAGTTTGTATTTTGTCTCTTGCAGAAGAAGGAAGATAAACAAACACTGAATGGAAAAGAGACCAAACAACAATCAAATCCAGTCAAAGGTAATCTGAATACTAATTCAGAGGATAGATCCTGTTAGAACCTTCCCAATCCCCCCCTGTACAGTATATCGTAAGTTTAGCCATACATGGTTTGAATTTCATCTGATTTCTGCTGAAGTAGATGAAATTTGAGCCGTGGGTGGTTTTGCCAGCACCACCCAGCTTGACGAAAGTTGTTTTCAAAATCAACATGTATCAGATGTACTCACTGTTCAGGTTTTCAGACAGCTGTGGATGCTGTAGCTATCTGGATATGATAGCCAGCGATCTATAAATTTTTTCTCGTTCAGCATGTGGGTTAAACACGAGAGATCTAAATCTGATTTTAGTATTTCCTAACAGTACATTATTGTGCAAGATTAAATATTGCTTTTCTTATTCTTGTTTTGTCTGTAGCTGAAACAGTACCCACTGATGTTATCATGAAGATTGAGCTTCCAGAGAAGAAGGTGGTGAGAATACAAGACAGGACTGCAGCATCTGACATATCCCAGGGGTTAGTCTAGATGCAAATATACATTTTTTAAAATTACACTATTAGTATTTGCAGTTCATTTAAAGTGGTAGTAAACTCTTTTTGTATACCTTTACCTACAGGTAAGCTTATAACAGCTTACCTGTAGGTAAAATGAATATCTCCTAAACGTGCACCGTTTAGGAGATTGATATGCGCTCCTTTTGACAGCCATTTTGACAACAGCATACCTGTGCTGTTATTTCACAGCACTGTGCCATGGCCTGGGACTCCCACACATGCATGACGTCATCACAGCTCAGCCAGGAGCTTGCGAACCCAGAAGGAAGACCGGGTGAAGATAGAAGCCTCTTCAGCGGTGACAGCGTGCCGCTGGGGGGCTTCATTTTAAGGCAAGTCCTTCATAATGTGCTAGTATGTGATACATACTAGCACATTATGACATTACCTTGCAGGGAATTTTTTTTATTTTTTAGGTGCAGTTTACTACCACTTTAAAGGGTGCATTCACAGCACCTTATGGAGCATGGATGTAGGAATTCAATTACCACATTACAATGGCTTCTCCCCATTCATGCATTTAACTTTAAATGACTGGCATAAGAACATACATAATTCTTCTGATTTGGGTGAAGTGGGACAGGGCTTCATCGCCAGTTGGGTTATATCTGCTGTCCAGAAGCCAAGCAGGGAGATCCCCTCCCTGTCTTGTGCATGCTATGGAATTAACCTGACCTATGTTAATGAGCTTTTGTTCACTTCAAGTGGGTTTTGCATTACTCTTACAAGTCTATAGAAATGCAAAACCCACTTTTTGGTGAGGAGGTCAATTGCAGGTCATGTGCATTTGTGAATGAATTCTAAAAAAAACTGTGAAGCATCTGAACCTGATTTGAAAATAGTGTAATCTGCACAAGCGCAAAGCCTGTCAATGCAGCCATGTATTGGTTTTTGTGCTCCTATGTAAATTTCTATGTTCCTAAATGCATTCCTATGAAGCATGCACTAGAGGGCACCAAACAGAAATAGAACATATGACAAGTTAAAAACACAAAAAAACCCCACAAAAATACAACTGTCAATTTGCTAAGATATATAGGATTTTTAAATTGCGTTTGCTGTTTTATCCTATGAGCTCTCATATTTTCTCGCATATTATTCATTAAATGTTCAATTTATTAGTCTTACATAAGTGTGAAATTGATACAAAAAAGGATATTTGTATACTGAAAGCTTTTATGTCTCAAAATTTATGAGCAAATTAGTAATTTATGTCATCACCACCTCAAATAGTTTCTTTTTCTGCTCCACACAGTAGACAATTTTTAGAATCCCATTGTTCCTACCAACCAGGGGTTTTCTATCACATTACAAAAAAACTTGTACTTAAGTTCTTGAAAATTCTTTTATATACAGAATATCTTAATAATTAATGCCTTGTAGGTGATATATTGAACTGACAGAAGCTTTAGTGAACTGAAACCAAAATTGGATAAAATGAGCTAATGAAGCACATGTAAATATGGTTGACATTATGCTTTTGTGTATTTAAAATAATATATACACTGAGCAGTGGCATTCCGAGGCAGGTGCAGGGGGTGTGATCCGCAACCGGGTGACACCGACCGCACGGAGTGACACCAGACTCGCTCCACAAAAAGGTAAGTTGTAAAGCAAGCCGACGATTCCTGCAGGATGGATCCGATCCATCCTGCGAGGATCATCAGCTTTCTTTACAAAACGTACGTTTTCTTGGAGCGGGTCCGGTGTCACCCCGTATAGGTTGCATGCCGACGATCCTGCGGGGATCGTCAGCATGCAACCTATATGGGGTGCCACCGGACCCGCTCCAAGAAAACGTACGTTTTGTAAAGAAAGCCGATGATCTCCGCAGGATGGATCGAATCTGCGGATTGAGCATAATGGATCGGAGTCCGATCTATTATGCTCAATCTGCAGAGCCGATCCATTCTGCGGGGATCCTTGGAGGGGGTGCCACTAAGTGTTACCGCACTGGGTGACACCAACCCTAGGGACGCCTCTGACAGAGTACTATCTAATTTTTATTTGTTATGACCTGGTTTTCATTCGTATAATATTTCACACTATTGAAAAGGTTTCCTAAATGTCATTTATCCTAGATACAGTAAAAATCCAAGCTACCATGGTTTCCTAGGGAAGAGGGGCAGCCAGTATAATTGGCAGAGTGGTCAATATCTGAAGTTCTGCGGGTGTTTAGACTGGTGCATGGCGGGGAAGCATGAGCTGGTATTCTCTGCAAGGCCCAGAATTTACTGATATTTGACTTTCAGCTATCGGTGGTAACCAAAATAGGAAAATCCGTAGTACTAGCAGAGAAAAGGTTTCCCTGCAGGATTTGCTGTGTTTACTCTATGTGGTAGAATGAGAAAAGTGGAGGAATGAGAACAGAATAGAGGCATACTATTCCTTTTGCTTTAAGAGAAACCAATTGAAGTGGCACACTAGGAGGCATACAGTTTTTGTGTCAGAGATATCTAGCTAGGAGAAGGACCCATGTCATTCCCATAACCCATTGGTGGCACTAGAGCTCCAGGTTGGGATATCAAGAAGAGCTGAAGTCTGTGCTAAGCTAATGTGCTAAGCCTACTTTGCCCATGTTCATTTTAGAGTATATATATACTGTGTGAGTGTCTATCTATCTACATCTCAAATCCTCTCAAAACCTCTTTTTAAATTGGATAGAGACGGCTTTACACCCTGTCAGGCTTTGTCTCATTAGGTATATTGTTCTTCACTTTCTGTCTCAGAGACCCAACAGAAAGTGAAAGAAAATCTCTGAGAGGGAAATCCACTCTTAAATAGTTGTCACCAAAGGACGCGTTACCATTGGAAGAATGTTATGATGACAACCCCATATTTGGAATGCCGTGGACAAAGAGAATTGGGAGGACTCCAATACTACATCCAAAACTCCTCAACATTCCATTCAAAAACTTAAGAAAAGCTTGTCTTTAGATAAGCTTTAAAGTACTGCAGTCGTAATTCATATTTCTTAATGTGATGATGGTATACAGCAGCTCATAATAAACTCTATATGTCTATTTATTTTAGAGGCTCTCTGGTGAATGGGATACAGCCTTCCAAACAAGAAAATGGCTTCTCCTCTAAAGATTCGTCTCCTGCATTTGAAGAGGTGATAACACTTTCTGATATCAGCAGTTCTAATGGAGAGAAGGGGATTCCACCTGCAGAACCAATTATCGCTTTTGGGGGAAAGGATACATTTATTAAGAAGTCTACTGTGCAGCCCCCTCAAGTAACAGGTAAGAGTGCTGCCCAGCATTAGCAGGTCACTGACGGGTCTTCCTTGCTGTTTGGAATCAAACTCCTGCAGCTGGGAAAGTCAGATACTTTGCCCAGTTATACTTTTTAGTAGTTTTCAATATTTATGTGGAACTCTCAAAATTTTAGGGCACTCATCTTTGTAACATTTCAAATTTCCTTATAGTGTAAAGGGGAGTAGACTAGCCTTTGTTACTTCAAGGAAGGGGGCTAAAATACTTGTTAATTCAATCGGCCTCATTTGCACCAAGCTGTACAATATAGCAGGCTGCAAATGACAATCATTTTAACCTATCATATACATAATTGGAAACGCTGGAATGGACAAAAAAATTACATAAATATGCTTGTTTACCTTTTACATATGTAAAAAAGATGCATGTAAATTTGTGCACTATGAAGAGAGCTGTATAGTAGTGTATCAAAATGCATTTTCAGAAAAAAAAAAAAAAATTTCAGGTTGAAATGTATTTAAATTAATTTTTTAACCACTTGCCTACCGGGCACTTATACCCCCTTCCTGCCCAGGCCAATTTTCTGCTTTCAGCGCTGTTGCATTTTGAATGACAATTGCGCGGTCATGCAACACTGTACCCATCTAAAATTTGAATTTTTTTTTCACACAAATAGAGCTTTCTTTTGGTGGTATTTAACTGCCACTGGGTGTTTAATTTTTTTGCGCTAGAAACAAAAAAAGTGCAAAAAATTTGGAAAAAAAAAGTTTTTCTTTGTTTCTATTATACAATTTTGCAAACGGGTAGTTTTTGTGATGTGGTGGCACAGATAGGCAGCACTGATGGGCACTGATAGGTGGTATTGATAGGCGGCACTGATGGGTGGCAGTGATGGGCAGCACAGGTGGGTGGCACTGCTGGGCACAGGTGGGTGGCAGAGGTGGGCGGCACTGCTGGGCACTGATCATAAGGGCACTGATCATCAGTGCCGATCACTTCTCTGACAATTGCTGGTTATCGGCAGTACTTTCCTCACGCTGTGACAGCATGAGGAAAGTGCAGCCAATAACCAGCAACTGTATTTATCCGGTGATCTGCTGTGTCATTGGACACAGCTGATCACGTGGTAAAAGGCTGCTGTGATTGGCCGTTTACCATATCACGTGATCAGCTGTGTCCATAGGACACAGCGATCTCCGGCGGCGCCGGGTGTGCGCTGCTGGGGGCATGCAGGGGGTGTGTTCTGGAAAGACGTCAATGGACATCTTCCCAGAACTAGACAACTGCGCTGTAGCCATCTTTCGGCTATAGTGCAGTAGGGAAGAGGTTAAAGTAATGGATCAAGTGGAAAAGGGTTAGACCTATTCTTGTATTGAATTTCTAACATAAAAATTCTGTTCACTATGCTCTCAATTCTTGTTGCGTTTCCAGGGAAATCTCCCCATTAGGACAATGCGTAAGATTGGTTTTTGTAGTAATATAGTGTGTCCTTGACTTTTAAACTACCCTCAGGTCTGGCTAGGACTGAGAGTTACTATTCAGGTCAAGACTTGCAGAGCAGCTTTCCTCTTCAGATGTCGCTGCAGCCTGTTAACTGAGACAATGTAAATGGTGTGAGATATTGGTCAGACTGTATCTGATGACTGTAATGTGAGAACAGTTAATTTTATTACATGATGGCTTAAGTATGAAGTTTTAATCCTTTACCACTCAAAGGATTTAAAGGTCTATTACTGTCTGTGTTCATTTCTTTTCTCTAACTCTCCTAGATGAACCAAGTCACCAAAACAGGAAGTGAAGAAAACTGACCCAATTAGGAAAATAAAATTCTGAGAGAGAGATTGATAATTGTATGAGGGCTATTTTACACCAGAACAGAGTACCGGAAACCCAGGTTCCATGCTTGTTTCCCACACAGCGTCAAAATGCATTGCAGATGAGATCTGCAGCGGTTGTCAATGTTAACCACTTGCTGACCAGCCACAGTACATTTACTGTGGAAGGTCGGCACCACTGAGCAAAATCACGTGCCTATACATGATTTCGCATTTCAGGTAGGGGGTGTGCAACCCACCCTATCCCCGCTGCCGATCATGGCCGCAGGTGTTAATCACCGGGTCCCAGACGGTGATTACTCGGCGATTACTGGCAAACACTGACTGGGAGGAAGGCTGTATAGTTTTAAATGCAACTCTCTCTGTCAGTTTGAGCGCACTGATCCGTTACGCTGAGCACAGCCTTCCGGATCAGTGTGTTACAGTCAAGCACCCCCCCCCCGCCCCCTAATAAAATACTCCTCTCACACATTTAACACTTTGATTGCCTTCTAATGTTAACCACTTCCTCCCCAGTGACATTAGTACAGTGTCAGTGTTTTTTTTTTTTTTATGCACTGATCACTATATTGGTGTCACTGGGGATGTCAGTGACCCCAAGTCAGTTCCCCCCAGTGTCAGAATGTCTGCAGCAGTCCCGCCATAAGTGGCTGATTGTCGCCATAAGTTGCTGATTGCCGCCATTATTAGTATTTAAAAAAAAATTCCAGTATCTATGCCACCATTTGTAGATGCTATAACTTTCACGTAAACCAATTAATTTACGTGTATTGCGATTTTTTTTTTTTTTTTTTAGCAAAGACATGTCACAGAATATATTTTGGCCTAAATTTATGGCAATTTTAAATTTTTTTCCTGGACATGTTTTTTTTTAGCAAAAATTCCAAAATATTGTTTTTTTTTTCAAAATTGTTGGCCCTTTTTTTTTTTTTTTTTTTTTTTTTTTATACCGCAAAAAAACACAGGCAATCAAATACCACCAAAAGAAAGCTCAATTCGTGGGGAAAAAAAATTTCATTTGGGTGCAGCGCGTTGCATGACCGCGCAATTGTCAGTTAAAGTAACGCAGTGCCGTTAAAAACCGCTTTCTGACCACTTCCTGACTGCCCTGTAGCAAAAATACTGCTACAGGGCAGTATGGGTGTGCAAAATCATGTAAATATACATGATTAGTGCTCCCATGGTTTTCACGCCCCTCCCAGATGGCGTCAGATTGCCCGTCCGTACACCAGTAATCACATTTAACCCCTTGATTGCCAGGAACACACTCATACACAATAAACCTCCGTTGCTAGTATAGTGTCTGAACGGATCTATATCTTTGATCAGCTCAGCATTATACCAGCGTTCACATTAGTATAGTGTCCTCAAAAATTCAGCGTTAGTGGGATCAGCCCGACACTTGCCAGCACCTGCGTTTAGCCCCTACACTTACCCCCCATGCTTACCCCCCCCCATCTCCCTTAGCAAGTACAGTGTCAGTAGGTCACTGTCACTTGATACGTTGCACACAAAACCGCAGTGTTGGCAGAACCAGGCCTGATCTCTGTTAGCACTTGCCAGTATATTTTGATGACTCTCATATGCAGCAGAGTGCCAGTACTAGTGCCATGCTACCTTTTGGTGAACTGGCGATCACCAGCAGCTAGTACATCCTGGTCTTTCACATACCAGCACTGAAGTTTCACTTGGTGACATGGCGAGTCCCATAAGTGCAGTACAAGCTAGTGCAGTGGCGAGCACAAGTATTGTCCCGCAACCACCAAGAATTCGCACACAGATCCGTAGAGCCCATAGTGTCCTTCCAGATGTGCAGCCCGATTGGCAGCCCACAAATTCTGCAGCACCCGTACTTCCCCCATCCACTGCCCAACCTGGAATTCCCCTTGATTTTTTTGGAGCTGTTTTTCATGGCATATCTGTATGCATTGATTGTGGATCAAAGCAATTTATATGCACAACAATTTATCGCTGCCAACCCAAATTCAAACCTTGCCAGACCATTCGCATGGAAACCCATTACAGTTTCCGATTTAAAATTTTTTTTTGGGCCTAACCCTCAACATGGGCATTACTAAAAAAAAAAATTAATTGCAGTTCATCATATGCCCATGTTCTCTGCTGCCATGGCCAGGCATAGATATGAGAGTATAATGTGTTTTATGCATTTCAACGACAATACACTGTCGTCCTGGGGGTAACCCTGAATTTGACCAGCTCCACAAAATTCAGCTCCTCATAAATCACCTTAACCAAAAATTTGCAAATGTCTATACTCCCCAGCAAAAAATATGCATTGATGAGGTCTTCATTAATTTTCTGGCAGCCTTGCATTCAAACAATTTCTCCCCAGCAAGCGTGCCAGATATGGGGTCAAGATGTAGAAGACCTGTGAGAGAGCAACAGGCTATACATACAAGTTTCGGATTTACGAGGGAAAAGATAGTCACATGGAGCCCCCCGGATGCCCAGACTACATGGGGAGTAGTAGCAAGATAGTTTGGGACTTGGTATCATCCTTTTTCTATATGGGTTACCACTTATATGTGGACAATTTTTATTCAAGCGTGCCACTATTTAGACATTTGATCTGAAGACTTGATCTTCAGGTGGTTAGAAGAGTGAGTGATGTGTGGCATAAATGTCAAATGCTGGGCATAAAATGCCCTCACCCCTCACCCCTCCCAAAACTACCCCTTTTTGGAAAGTAGACACCCCAAACTAGTTGCTGAGAGGCATGTTGAATCAATAGAAGAATTTGTTTTTACCACAAGTTTTTGGAAAATTACAAAAAAGTATTTTTTTTTTTACACAAAATTGTCACTTAAATGATTTATTGCTCACACATGCCATGGGTAAATGTGGAATTACTCCCCAAAATACATTCTGCTACTACTCCCAAGTATGGGGGTACCAAATGTGAGAGACGTTTTGGCAGTCTAGCCAAATACAGGACCCCAAAATCCAATAAGTTTTGGAGAATTACAAAAAAAAAAATTTTTTTTTTCACAAGTGTCACTTAAATGATTAATTGCTCACACATGCCATGGGTATATGTGGAATTACTCGCCAAAATACATTCTGCTACTTCTCCCGAGTATGGAAATACCACATGTGAGAGACTTTTTGGCAGTATAGCCAAGGACCCCAAAATCCAATAAGCACCTTCAGACTTTTAAAGTGCTTTATTT